GATAGATAGATAGATAGATAGATAGATAGATAGATAGATAGATAGATGGTGTTTTACAGTCTACAAAGTACCAGTCTTGTGTATCTCAGTCACCTGTCTACAGAATGATAGAACACTCATTTCTCCATAACTGTTTAACTTGACCTCATGGAAAGGATGTTAGAGGACTGATACATTCCTACCATGAATGTGAGGAGGTTCAGCCCTTCTGTCTACCCTCGGGGAGAAAGTGACACAAAATCCAAGGTCAAGCAGGTCCTTTTATTGGTTAAAAACAAAAGGCTTTTCTGTTCTTCATGCATGGATATCCAGAAGGTAGACAGAGATACATTGGTTTAAAGTAAGGAACACCAGCACAAAACCAGAAAATATGTTAAGAAGCAAGATGGGCCGGAAATGGCCAGGCTTGCACTTATTATCCCTGTGGCTCAGGCAAGGAATAAGCCACAGTCACCCAGCCCTGGCTATCTCAGGTCATGGCAGCCTGGATTGGTCTGTTGGCCTGGGGCAAGTGTCCATATGTGGTGTTCCTTTGTTGGCAGAACCAGAATCCATCCTTCTTTCCAGCTTTGGAGAACTCCCTGCTGGCTCTTTATGACACGCTTCTTTGCACCTCCCACTATGGGGGGTGAGGGGATGCAGAGTTCCCTGTTCCCTGCTGGTCCAGCTACAGTCCTCTTCAGTTTCCTTGTGCCTCAGCTCTGGGGGAGATGCTCCCTGGTTTCTGTTGCTACAGCAACTGCGGGTTGGAGTTTGCTTTTTCTTTAGCCAAGTGGCACTTGCAGCAGCATAGCTGGGAATCCCCTCATGGGAAAGTCAGGTCCTTGGCATGCCATCAGGGGAAGCCTCAATTATCCAGCCACTGTCTTCAGATGCAATGGTTTCTCAGAAGAAGGTGGCTGGGAGGACCACTGATGCCATACCATGTGGAGAGAGTTCCCCACTCAGAGCCATCATAAAGAGCCATGTCACAGGGGATAGAAAAGGGCCACAACTGGCATAGTGAGTTACGGGGGGGTGTCTATATAGTATAACCTTCCAATGGCATAATCCCTATAGTTCGAAGCTGCCCTCCCAGAATCTGACTCCCTATTTACAGAATAGGGAGTAGGGTCTGGGAGAAAAGAAGCCCCAGCAATAGGAAGTGGAACTGAAAATATGTAATAGCACCTGGCATGGTAGCCCCTAGTCAAGAAGGGAAAGACCCCAGCCCCATAGCTATTTACTTACACAAGAATATGGGAAAGGAAGTAGGGGAAGGGGGTGCCAGGGACACGTCACTGACTTAGGAGCTAAGACATATGTCAGGGAGAAGACAGTCTAGTCACAGGCAAAGCACCAGGAGGACTGCTGTAGGAAGGGACAGAGTTCCAGGCAGCCCCTCCATACAACAGAACATCTCTCTCTCTCTCTCTCTCTCTCTCTTTCTCTCTCTCTCTCTCTCTCTCTCTCTCTCTCTCACACACACACACACACACACACACACCATTTGTGGGGACATAGACATACAACCCTGCTCAGTAACATAAAGTGACAAGGGCTTTTGAAAGAAATAAGGGGTGGGGCAAAATTAATAGGGAACTCAGCTAGAGAAGAAGAGAGGGAGGTGGGGCTTTGTGTTAGAACTCAGCCATGATGCTTCCTTACTAATAGAGCAGTCCTGCTTCTTCCTTCACACCCATCCCTACTTCTCTCTGCCTTCTTATGTTAGAGTTACATTACTGAACACAGGTCGAAGAATTCCTCTCTTCTGAAGGGCTCAGTTACCCAGATCTTCCCATTACATCCATGATCAGGCTCCCATAATTTGTTTCCTTTTCCACCTCTTTCCCTCTCATCATCCCCTTCTCACAAATGTTCCCTTCCCAGACAGACCGTCCCCAATCCAGAAGTAGAAATTCCCGAGGATAAACTCTTCTCTTCCAGACCAAATAGCCTACTAACTAGTTTCTCCATGATAAGAAGTTACTCTGGGTTACTCTGACTCCATGGGAGACATGGGAGCAGCTCCCTTTCCTTCCTTTGGCCATAGGTCTGTTGCTACTGTTGGACCTTACCCCTGACCAGAGTACCTCCCCTCGCTCCCTTTGCTAAGAAGAAGAAGAAAGCAAAAGACAGGGAGATTTTCCGTCCTGGAAAGAGGAACAGTGCTGCAGAAGACACTGAGACTGTCCTTCCTGCCCCACTGGGGACTGGACTGGAGAGGTCCCCCAGCGATTTCTACCTCCCCAGACTCCCATGAAAAGGTGGTTCACAGATAGGGTGAGGCCTCAGGATAGCGTTAGAAAGCAAGGGAGGTGAGAGATTATAGAGAAGATACTAGAATAAGGAGGGCAGTCAAAAGAATGTGGGAGAGTTGTTTACGTGGTCAACCCATCGCGATTGGCCGGGAAAGTAGTTGGACTTTGGGGAACAGAGATCCAGTGGTTTGGGTCCTCTAAGCTAAGGGATCATGCGGGGTAAGGAATTGTCCAGGTTTCATAGCCTCTGCTCAGCTCAGGCATAGAAGGCCCCCTCTGGGGGATCTCTAAGAGAGCAGCTGCTGGAAGGGAAGTCGAATCTCAGTGGGAGACACTCTCCAAGGGGAAGGGCCCCTAACTGTACCCCTGACATGGGACTCCTCCCTAGCAGGAGTGGTCCCCAGGGAACAAAGAGGAGTCAGGCTAGGAAGGGGTGCGTCGGGATGGGGACAGCTCCTTCTGTGAGGGCACCTGGGCAGTAGGGAGCAGTCCCCTGCCTGTCAGGAACCCCTGGAGGTCAGCTGCCCACAAGTGAATCTCCGGGACAGCCACCCCCCTCCCTCCCCACCCCACCCCCAACGGAGTGGCAGGTAGCGAGGGCGCCTCAGAAGCGCGTGCTCTGGTAGCGTAGCCTACGAAGATCTGAGAGGCCCTCATCCCGGCAGTACAGCTCCCTGCAGGGACTCTCGGCCAGTCACCGGCCCCCTGCCCCTCCCCCTCCTCCACTGCTGCTGCCGCTGCTGCTGGAGCTGCCGCTGCTCGCACTGCCGCTGCTGCAACGGTCTTCGTAGATGGAGATCTCGATCTGCGGAGGAGGCAAGTGAAGGAAGAGACGCGTCCTCTTCTGGCACCTAGGGCAAACAGGGTCTTTCTATGCACTTAGCATAGACCAACCCCAGTTCATGGGTTGTGTTTACTAGCTCCCACATACGTGCCTTTGTCATCTCCCCATGATACCCATCTCCCATATACAAGGAACAGAGAGTAGTAGTATGGGGTGAATCCTGTGAAAACCACCCAAGGGAGATGATGGGGAAAGGAACTGGGGGCATGTCACTGTCCCTAAAGCCATCACTCATTGTGGACTCCCTGAGATGCTCCTCAGACCCCTCACTTCAGAAATAAGCTAATATTATTCAGTGGTCATCAGCTGGTCAACAGTCCTAAGTGGCTCTTACTGCCAAGTGCTGCCCTAACTTCACAGGATCATACATAGACATAGAGCTGGAATGGACCCTGAAGGACATCAACCCCTTCATATAAATGAGGGAAAGAGATTGATAAGCACTGGAGAATTGAATGACTTTAATGACTTTCACCAACCGTCCTCCTGGAGCCATCTTGCCATGTAGAGCAGCATTCTATGGACTAGACCTCCCAAACCCCTGATCCCTAGGGTAGTATAACTGCTGAGCTTCGGCATTCTCTCCCTGGGATTGAGCTGTCATGATAGGTGCCTCTCCCACTGCATCTAGCCCACCCCAGATGAGATCTACTCTGCCACCACATGGATTCAGGTCAGCTTCCACCTCTTGCCTTGAGTGTAATCAAACCAACACAACCACTGCTTCTACAAGGTGTGTCCAAGAAATTTCCATAGGTTACCAACTTGAGAGACAACTTGATGTGGTAGATAGGGACCCAGTCTTGAAGCCAGGGAGACCTGAGCTCATAATTCCGATTCTAATATATATACTGGTAGGGGCAGCTAGGTGGTACAGTGGATAGATCGCCAGCCCTGGAGTAAGGAGGACCTGAGTTCAAATCTGACCTCAGACACTTACTAGCTGTGTGAGCAAGTCACCTAACCCCATTAACACATACTGATAACATCTTAGTGCTTTTGGTAATTCTCTAAAACCATAAGTTGCTGAGAAAACGCTAAAGTTCAATGGAAGGAGGAGTTTTCTATTCCCTATCCCCTATTACTTGTTACTTTCCAGACCCAAACCTCCTTTGCCTAGCCACCAATCCAGCACTGCTTCCACACTACCCATCACTCACTTAGAGATATGGGTACCTGCCCACTGTCCAACACAGCCACCCCAGACCTAGCAGTCGCAATCAGAAAGGATACAACCCTCATTCCTCGCTCCACGGGGTCAGTGAGAAGGAGGCCCCGGGGAGCAAAGATCTTCTCATTCTGCTCTTGGATATATCGGGAAATCTTCTTGAGGACCTGCAGAGAGGGCATTAGTTGGTGATGGGGATGGTCAAGGGTATAGACAATAGGAAGGGGAAACAGAAAAGAGAGAGTGAGGGGTGCAGGGAGGGTAGCACGGGATGGAAAAGGATAAGTGGTATGTGTGGCTGAGGGTAAGGCTGGGTCTGGGGTGGGAGCCACCTTCTCATAATGGGTCTCCATGCAGAGGAAGATAAAGTAGGCCGTGGCACAGGCCAGACAACCCTCCAGGTAGGAGCTGCCCCCAATTTTCTCAGCCTCAGCATAGAAGTTGTTGAGTGTCTTCACAGTCTCCTCAAATAGTTGCCGCTCAATCTGGAGGAAGAACAAGATTGAAGGCCCAGTTTGAGGTTCCAGAGATTACAGGCTATAATGGAAGGCTGGCAAGGAGGAGAGAGGCACATCAGGATTCAATAGGGTGTGTGAATGGAATATGTGTGTGGCCCCAATATCAGGAAAGAAGAAATGCAGATGAGATATTTCCTGCAGTCACAGACACATGAGGGCTTCATGCATGGGACTTAAATTGATTTGAGCAAGTGGGATGAGACGCACTGTTTGCCTGTCAAGGGAGGGCTGGAATCTTTTCCCCTAGGGGTAGCTAAGTAAGAAGCTCCCAGGCTTTGAATGGTTGAGATGCTGTCTGACCAGATGGCAAGGGGACAGTCTGGGACCTGCATTGCAGGTAGTTTTCACAAATGATTAGACCGCAGAATTTCCATCAGCCCCACCCACATTTCCCCAGGGCTCCCTCCAAGCCACCCCCACAAGCTGCTAGGGCTTCCCTGATCACTAAGCTCAGAGACCACAGATGTCTGTCTGCCTGAAGCCAAAGCTCTCCAAGGAGGAGATAAGTAGCTGTTAGATTCCCAGTTTCTGCCTAAGACACAAAAAGTAGAGAAAGTGCCATCCTTTCCACAATGTGATCTCTGCCCTTAATAGTGTTCTGTTCTCCAGGGTTAAATGACTCCCTAGGGCATGCATTTGCCTGCTGGCTGGCCCAGGGGCAAGGAATGGCTGGAAGTTTTTTCTAGAAGGTTGGTCAAGGACAGGAAGCAATGAAGGCAACTCTGGACTATGCTTTAAATATATATATATGTATGTATGTGTGTGTGTGTGTGTGTGTGTATGCAGTCCCTAGGTCTCCCCAGTGGCCTAGCATCCAAATCTGCCTGGCCTGATAAATAGGAGTGGGATGTTGCTTTTCTTTCTCAATTCCATAGGTCAGAGACAAGGAGGTGGAAACCATGTGATCCAGAATCAAAGCCAAGCTCAGCTGGGCCATCACCAAGCTTCCTTGTAGGTCCTGGCCTTACTCCCTGAAATTGGAGTTCAACAGTCAGCCTACACAGGGCATGGGCATGCTCAAAGGTCTCTAACTAAGCTTCCTTTCTGAGGTTACCTCCTATCTACTATCTAGTCCCTGTGTATATAGCTAAATCCCAATTAATGTGAATAATTAATCTAGGTGCAGTGGTCACATTATTCAAATTTTCATTTCGCATTTCTAGTAATGGACTGGAACCAATGACCATATTTTACATATAACTTTAAATAATGCCATTTGAATAATTCAATCACTTTGCAAGATTATTTGCCCTAAACAGGACCTAGCTTTACATAGTTTTGAGTATTGTCTCCCTCAGGAGTGGGGAAACTTCAGCTTTTTTGTGGCCTCGAGGCTGCAAACTTAAAAGTTTGGATTCATTCAAAGGGCTGCACTTGAGGACCTAGAAGGCCACATGTGGCCTCGAGGCTGCAGGTTCCCCACCCCTGGACTCTCCCTCATTAGAATGTGAGTTCCTTGAGGGTACGGACTATCTTCTGCTTTTCTACATAACCCCAACACTTAGCACAGCATTCAGCACATAGTAGGTGCTTGTTGATTCTCTGCTGACTAGTACAGACCTGGTTTCCATAGTGCATGGGCAAGAGGGTATTTGGGCACCAGGTTCATTTGCTCTCCCATAAGTAGCTTGACTGTGACTTGCACCAAACACCAAGAATGGAGACAAGAATTCCTTACCCGGCTGTCCAACTCAGGGGGGAATTTGGTCTGGAACTGGCAAATGGTCCCATCGCTGTAATCTCTCTGGACAAAGACTTTGGTGGCCAATGAGGCACTGCGCCGGAGCTCCTGCAGATTGTGACCCTCCAGAGACACAACGAATTCAATCAGCAAACATGGTTTCTGCTATGTGCAGGCGGGGCAGGAGTGTGGAGAAAAAGAGGAATAAGACACAGTCCCTACCCACAAGGAGTTTACAATCTGGTAGAGGGGATGAGACATGTACACAAGTATCGATGACACAAAATGCTTCACTTCAAGAGCAAAATGGATACTAATCAATACTACAGCCTGTAGCTGCCTTCCCCTCTACAGCTTCATAGGTATCTTGTAATACCCCTATTTCCTCCATACATGTTATCTCCCCCATTAGAATGTAAGCTTCTTGAGGGAAGGGACTGTTTTCACTTTGGCCTGTGTATATCATTGTATAACTTGGCCTGGCACATGGCAATTACTTAATAAATGCTTGTTGATTGATCGATTGACCACCCCCTAATAAATGGACTTTGTAAGTTAATGTGACCCAAAAAAACTCTTCACCTGTTGACCAAACTTCTGGCACTAAACCTCTCTGAATTTCCCCAAACTAATCCTCAACCATCAGATGAATACAGTTCATAGCTAGCTCCATGCTAGAATCCTTACCAGCTTGGCAGTATCAACCCAAGAGATTATGCTCTATTACAAAAGCATTCAAGACCTAGGGTAACCCTCATACCCCAATGAGGCATCAAAGCAGGATTTTAGTGTTTAAGTGCTTTTACACTAAGCACATAAAAAGAGTTCCAAAGTGCTAAGAGAAATCAGAGGAGATATATCTACATATACATATACATATATGTATATATAAATTTATATACATATATGTACGTATGTATATACACACACATACTATAGCTTGGTGAGGAGGGGAATCTTGGAAAGCTTCACAGAGGAGGTGGTATCAAAGGATGAGAAGAATTTTAACACTCAGTAGGGAAAGAGAAAGAAATTTCTTTGGAAATTAAAAAACATAGACCAAAGCAGAACCAAAGGTAAATCAGAGTGAAAACAGAAAAGTCCTAGAACCAGCTGCAGGCCTGGGTTCTGATAACAGGGAAGAGTCATCAACATGGTCAGAATGAATTCCTCATTTTTCTTAGGATGGTTGCCTGCTCTGTATGGCCTTAGCAACTAAGGAACTAGCACTTTCTTTCACAGTCCAAAGGACTGCAGTTGCCCAGATGTCATGATGGCCCTCTGCCTTTCCCAGCTACTCTGAACCAAGAGAAAGGTACCATTGACATCAAGCATGGTAGTGGTGATCAGACCTATCCACTGTCAGCTCTGGGCAGGAATGGGTAGCAAAGCCCAGTAGAGGTGTGCCGTTGCCAGGGCAAACATGTGATATATGTTCCCACCAAGTTTTAGTGCAATAGAACCAGAGGAACATTTGACTGGGTGTCAAGAGATCTGGAACCTAATATTGACTCTGCCACTCTGTATTCTTGGGAAAGCCGTGTCATTTCTCCAGGCCTCATTTCCTCACCTACAAAGTGAAAGAGTCAAGCTAGATTTTCTTTCCTAGATCTAATATTATGGCTTTATTATTTTAGTGGGGAGCCACAAAGAATCTGTTTCAGGCCCCCAAGATCAATATTCAGCTCTACCACTATTTTATATAACCTTAGCCAAGTGCTAACCTCTAAAAAGAGGATTAGGTAATCTCTAAGATACTTTCTTGTTCCAATACCTACACTCTACGAGTAGATCCATCAGTATGAGGAAGACTGTGTGTGAAGCGGGAGTAGAGTTGCAGAGGTGATTTGCAGCAGCATTCTCAGAACTTTAATTTCATAAAGGAGGAGAGCCCCCACTCACTTTCTTCACTTCTGACCGCCCATTTGATAGAACACAGACTTGAAGTTGGAAAAGCCCTGAAAGATAATTGAACTTAGGGTGGAACCAAGATGGCAGAATGCAGGCAGCAACCCAGAATTCTCCCAACTTTCCCTTCCAAACAACTTTATTATAACTCTTCAAATCAAATTTTGGAGTAGCACAGCCAACAAAAGGTCAAAGTGAGATATTTTCCAGCCTGAGACAATTTAGGAGGTCAGCAGGAAAGGTCTGTGACATGGGGTGGGAGCAGTGGCAGGCTTTGGAGGTGGCTGCAGTGGTGGTAGTGACAGCTTCAGCAGTTCTCACCCTAGAGATGGTACGAGGATAGGATAATTGGTCAGGAAGAGAATGTAGAAAACCTTTTGCTGACACTCGGCGCAGCTGGTGCTACTTGGAAACTGTATTACTCATAGCTGGTTCTAGGTTGCAGTTCCAGGATAGAGAGGAGCACTAGTGCTTGTGGCTATAGAAAAACAGGGGACCTGGTTGCAGTTCCAGGGTGAAGAGGAGCACTAGGACTTGCAGGTACAGGGGAGCAGGGGCTGCTGCTGGGTAAAGACCAGACTAAAGATCAGGAGAGCAGTGACCACACCTCTCTCCAGATTACACCACGCTGGAAGAACCAAAAACTTGTAGAATCCCAGAATTAGCTCTAAAAACAGCAACACAAAAAACTCTGAAACTGAGAATAGTGCCTCCACCCCTAGGTGAGCAGAGCTGAACTTTAACATAAAGTCAAGAAATGGTCTGGAAGAATGAGCAAACAACCAAAAACTTAACCATGAAAAGTTACTACAGTGGCAGGGAAGACTAAGACATGAACCCAGAAGACAATACTGTGAAAACAGCTCCCCCAAAAAAGCCTCAAAGAAAAATACTAATACTAATGCAAGCCCAACAAGAATTCCTGGAAGAATTAAAGAAAAAGATAAGAGTGGTAAAGGAAAAATTGGTAAAAGAAATGAGAGTGATACAAGAAAATTATGGGGGGAAAAGAATTAACAGCTTGGTAAAAGAGGCACAAAAAATACTGAAAAATACTAACACCTTAAAATAGAACTGGCCTACTGGTAAAAGAAGAACAAAAATTTATTGAAGAAAGAATTCCTTAAAAAGTAGAATTGGCCAAATAGAAAAAGAGGTGCAAAAGCTCACTGAAGAAAATAATTCTTTAAAAAGCAGAATTAGGCAACTGGAAGCTAATGACTCCATGAGACATAAGAAACTATTAAACAAAGCCAAAAGAATGAAAAGATAGAAGAAAATGTGAAATATCTCAGTGGAAAAACAACTGACCTGAAAAACAGATTGAGGAGAAATAATTTAAGAATTATTGGACTACCTGAAAGTCATAATCAAAAAAAGAGCATAGACATTCTATTTCAAGAAATATCAAGGAAAACTCCCTTAACACATTAGAGACAGAAAATAAAATAGAAATTGAAAGAATCCACTGACAGCCTCCTGAAAGAGATCCCCAAATGAAAACTCTCAGGAATATGACATCCAAATTCCAGAGCTCTCAGGTCAAGGAGAAAATATCTCAAGCAAAGAGAAAGAAACAATTTAATTATTATTGAGCTATAGTCAGGATCACACGAGATTTAGCAGTTTCCACATTAAAGGATTAGAGGGCTTGGAATATGATATTACAGAAGGTAAAGGAGCTAGGATTACAATCAAGAATAACCTACCCAACAAAACTGAGTTTAATCCTTCAAAATGGACATTTAATGAAATAGAAAACTTTCAAGCATTCCTGATGAAAAGACCAGAGCTGAATAGAAAATCTGACATTTAAACACAAGTCTCAAGAGAAGCATAAAAAGATAAACATGAGAGAATAATTATAAGGGACTTGGTAAGGGACTGTTTGCATTCCTATATGGAAAGATATTCCATGTACCTCCTAAGAATTTTATCATTATTATGGCAGTTAAAAGGAGTCTACTTAGCGAGCTGGCATGGGTGTGAAACAATTATGTTAAGACGATCTCAAAAAAAACAATGAAGGGGTGAGAAATAAGGATGCACTGGGAAGAAGGGAGAGGGAGAGGTAGAATGGGGGAAAAAGAGCTTTTATAGGTGGTGGGGTGGGGTGCCAGGCAATGTTTGAACCTTACATTGGAATTGGTTCAAAGAGGGAAGAATATATACAAATGATTGGGTGCAGAAATCTACTCAATAGGGAAATAGGAGGGGAAGGAATAAGAAATTTGGGGAAGGGGACAATAAAAGGGAAGATGGATTAAGGAAAGCAGTGATCAGAAGCAAGAGAGACAGAGAGAGAGAGAGAGAGAAACAGAAGAAAATGAGATTGAAGAAAATATACAGTTAGTAATCATAACTGTGAATGTGAATGGGTTGAGCTTACCCATAAAACAGAAGCAGATAGCAGAATGGATTAGAAACCAGAATCCAATATGTTATTTACAAGAGACATACTTGAAACTGAAAGACACACACAGTGACAAAATAAAGGGCTCGAGCAGAATCTATTATGCTTCAGCTGAAGTTAAAAAAAAAAAGGCAGGGGTCATTATCTCAGACTTATCAAAAGCAAAATTTGACCTAATTAAAAGAAATAATCAGAGAAACTACATTTTGCTAAAAGGTACCATAGACGATGAAGTAATATCAAAAAATCTTAAGGGTACATTTCTCCAATAAAGGCCTCCTGAAACATATAGGAAACTGAGTCAAATTTGTACAAATGAGAGCCATTCCCCAATTGATAAATGGTCAAAGGATATGAATCAGCAGTTTTCAGAATAAATCAAAGCTCTTTATAGACATGGGAAAAAATACTATAAATCACTATTGACTAGGAAATGCAAATTAAAACGACTCTGAGGTACACCTATCAAATATAACAAAGCTGGGACAGCTAGGTGGCACAGTGGATAGAATACTGGCCCTGGAGTCAGGAGGACCTGAGTTCAAATTCGACCTCAGACACATAACACTTACTAGCTGTGTGACCCTGGGCAAGTCACTTAACCCCATTGCATAGCCAAAAAACAATAATAATAATAAAGCTGGAGGGGATGAGGGAAAAAAAGGTGCACTAATAAACTGTTGGTGGAGTTGTGGATTAGTACAATCATTCAGAAGAACAATTTGGAACTATGCCCAAAGGGTTACAAAACTGTACATATCCTTTGACCCAGCAATAACACAATTGGTCTATACCCCAAAGAGATCAAAGGAAAAGAAAAAGGCCCTATATGCACAAAAATATT